TTATGGTCGTATTGTTAATTTGGCAAAACGATTAGATGGAGTAAATGGTGTATCAACGTTCCGGGCTGTCTTTTTGCAGATATGGGTACGAGAGTAGAATTGAACTTTTGGTCTAATTAGGTACTAAAGCTGGTATAAAATACGTGCACACACACACACACACACACACACACACACACACACACACACAACACGCAACACACAACACACACGCACACCAGCTCAGCACCTGTCTGCCTGTGCACGCATGCATGCATGCGACCGGCATCGTTGTCTCGAGAGACCTACCTGTCCGCTTGTTTGCTTGTGTCGACACGTGTGTGTGTGTGTGTGTGTTTTGTTTGTCAAGAATGCTGGCACGTGCCCATGTCAAGTCGTCAGCCGTCATCACGACTTCCCCGGCTCTGCCCAACATACACACACGCACGCACACACACACACACACACACGCACACGCATATCCTCGTGGGTGTTCGTGCCCAGCACACGTGTCTTGAGCTCACTGTCGACAATGAATGGCTGCTTGCTTCCTGCTTGGTTTGTCGACTCTTGCGTTTCCTTTGCTGCATTGTAGGTCGGCTTCGCCCGACGAAGTGTCGTCGGTCGCAAAGCAGTGACAACAACGAACCAGCAGGCCTCGCCCTAGCTTGTTCATTGTTGCCCACCTCTCATACCAGCTTCGACAACAGCACCAGCCACCTCCCTCCCCTCACCCCCTCCATTCTATCTCTCTTCCTATCTCCCATACACACTCGCTGGTCTCTTGTGTTTGCTTGTGTCTCCGTTTGAGTTGCGGTTGGGCCCGTCGGTTGCTTTCCCCGGCTCAGTTGCTCTCCCTCGTGCGTTTTTGTTCATCTTCCTCAGTACTGTCTGCACGGCTACACGTTCTTGCTCGCTCGCGTGCCAATCAATTGCTGTCCTCCTTCCTCTTCTTCTGTTTTCATCGTGCACAACATATCGCCATTGTTCTTCCGTGCCTTTGTTTTGTCTCGTGAACGACTGCTACTGCTACCTCATCTTGCGTGCTCGCTCGCTCGTGGACAGAATCAGCTGCAACACACATCCACCAAAGTGTATTGTTCTGTTGTGGTTGAACAATTCTCGTGTAGGGCACTTCCTCTGTTCTCCCGTCCTCTCGTCCCGTCCGTCCGTTCTCACTTGTGTCTGATCTAAACTCTGTCTTCTTCCATCCACTCCATTTCTCTTAACATACCTCATCAGTTGCTTCACTGTCGGCTAGGACCGCATCTACTACTACTACTACTTCTTCTTCTCTTCCTCCTCCTCTTTCTGCCGGCTTTCTTCCTGCCCCCCGACCCCCGGCGCGCCCTCCTCCTTTTCTTTTCCTCTTGTTCTTCGGGTTTGTCCACCTTCAAGCCCAACTCAACAACGTCATGGCCGGTGCCGCACCGCTTTCCCGTGAGTCATCCGGTCAAGTTCCCACGGCCCGCCGGCGCCACGCGCGCAAGGCCAAGGCCCGCAGCGACGCTCTGCTGGCCTCAAAGGCTGCCGCCGTCAAGTGCGAGTTTGGCTCTGTCGGCGACCTGTGCCCAACGCTCATGGCTTCCAAGCCCAAGGCAAAGGCCAAGCCGTCCAAACCCAAGTCATCTCAGCCGCCCACAGCTGCGTCTGCGACCTCCGCCTCCGAGCCAACCGAGAAACCCACCCCCACACACGCGCCCGTCGCAGATGTCGCAGATGCCCACGTTCCTATCGCCGACTACGGCGTGTGGTGGAAGTCTTCGGTGGAATTTCTTGCTGACACCCTCCAAACAGAACCCTCGAGCAGCGCCTTGAGCGGCGGCGGGCATGTGGACAATGCCGCCAACTTCGACCTCGACTTCAGCCATGCTGCCCGTGCTGCCACATCTACCGCCATCTCACCAAGGCCAACCAGCGCCAGCGATGCTCTTGCTGATTCGGGCCATGGCAGCAGCCGTGGCGACGCCTACTTTGGCGCCGTTGGTGACCATGAAGAGGCGGATGAGGGCTGCGCCTCTCGCGCGGCACTGGCTAGCTCCACAAAGGAAGGTGCAGATGTGATGTTGGCGGCCGCCGTCGACCCCGCACTCACCGTTCCATCGCCATCGCCCTCGCCACCGACTGCTTGCCCTGGCACAAGGACATCGCCGTTCCCTGCTTCTTCGCCCGCGAGGATGCGCGTGTCTGGGATGGCGACTGCTTCTCAGGACAGTGGGCAATGTTACGAGTTGTGGTTGGTGCAGTTGTTGCTGTCGCGGTTTAAAGGGGATGACCTGAGCAGAGGCATGGCTCAGTTGTGGGATGACATTCTCGCAGAGGACACGACCCGGCCGCGGACGCCATCGACGCCCCGCCGCTTTGACCTCGCCGAGCCCGTCAGACAGCCGCTGCCCCTGTTTCTCGAGGAATTTGTCAGTACGCGCGTGTGCTCGCGCGAGTGCCTGCCACTCGCCTACATCATCTCCACCAGGGCCCGCGCCAACCTTGGCGTCATGTTCTCGGTGCTGAACGTGCATGTGCTGATTGCGGCGTGCCTGACGGCGGCCTCCAAGCTGATGGATGACCGCTACTGCTACAACACATACTATGCCGGGCCCGCCCGCACATCCATCGAGCACTTCAACGAATGCGAGCGGTTCATCTGCTTTAACCTGTGCTTTGACCTGCATGCGTCGCTGCGCGAGTATGCTTCCGTGCTGCGACGCGCCTATGATGCCATCTCTGTGGTGCCAAGGCCCCTTTCCCCCCAGCTGCCCCCACAGCTTCAGAGCATGCCTCCTGGCATGCCCTATCACCAGGTGGCAATGGTTGCGCCAACCCCGCCCCCAAACTCGCCCGCGCGCGTCAGTCACGACGCAACCCACCAGCCTGCGGTGTACCCCCGCGGCGGCCCCGTCCAACAGCAGCCAGCAGCAATGGTGGCGGCGCAGTTTCAGTACCACATGGCCGGCCCCGTCTCCCACCACCACCACCAATACCATCACCACCACCAATACCCCTACGCCACGCCGTCTCTCCCATACTACTACCAACAGCCGCCGCCACATGTGCGCCCGCAGCAGCAGCAGCCCCAGCAGCCTACGAGGCTGCAAGCATCAAGGCCTGACATTGCGCCCGCCCCCAATGCCCCCGTGCCTCAGCAACACCAGCAGCTGCCGGTGTACCACCACCACAACTACCACTACCAGCAGCAGCAGCAACAACAGCCGCAGCAGTCGCGTCTCATGACCCAAAACCCAGCGGTGATTATGCCGTCACTTCCTGATCTTCCAACGTACTCTGCGTTCAACACGGCCATGTCATGCTCGCACTCGACTGCAGCTTCGTCTGTGGTCAATTCGCCGAGCCAAGCCCCACCCATGCATGTGCCCGAGCACGTGCGGTACGGTTCCATGGTGGCGGCGCGCCCTGTCATTAACGCGGCGACTGTGATGCCGGCCCATCTCCAACACCACTCACACCACCAACCACAGTACCAACACCAATACCAGCACCAGCAGTACCCAGCTGCCCCGTATCCCGTGCCCCCTCAGCCACACTATCCTCCTCATCCCCAACACCTGCAGCAGCACCTACACCAGCACCTGCGCCAGCACCAGCAGCAGCAGCAGCCGGTGGCGGAGCGTCTGCCTCATCTTCAGCACCACATGTACCACTCGCCTTATTCGCAACAACTTTCTCAGCAGCCAGCGGCCCCAGCGGTGCTGCCACCGGTGCTCACGTCATCGGCTGCGTATGCCGTCGCCTGTGGTGCACACGATACGGCTGAGCAGAAACTAGAGCTGGCGCAGTCAGGGACGGGGCTCGTCACGCCACACTCATCACCATTCGTGCACCCGCTGGAGCGGGACGAGGCACCCAGCACCACTGTCGCAGAAGCCACGTTGACACCAAACGTCTCGCCCGCTACGCACCACAGCACACGGCGGTCGGCCTCGTGCACATCACAGCTCTCCGCTTCGTCCAACTCCACAACCACGTCAGCATCAGCAGGCACGCCTCCAAACGCAGCTACAACAGGAACCGCGACAGCGACTACAACAACTACACCATCGGCTGCGGCTGCGGCCGTGGCAGTCTTGGATGAGCGTGAGCAGCCTGCATCGCTGTGTGCAGCACCACAACCGCAGCGGCAGAGGCGCTCTAACGTGCAGGTGCGCCCGTCGTCGCCGTACTGCGACAAGGCGTCAATGTCGCCGCCAGCCGATTCCGGCTTGCCCACGGTGGCGCAGACGACGCCCGTCCTCAACCCCTCCCCTCGCCGCCAGCAGCAGCAGTACTACGGCTACCGCAACCCCACCATGGCCATCACGGCTTGCGCGGCCACGGCAGCGCGGCCACCTGCTGCAGCTGTTGCGCAGCATTATGCTCGCTCCAGCTGCACGGCTCTCACCTGCATGGCGCTGACGACGACACAGTTGCTCCAGCAGTCCATGCCACCCGTCGTCTGATGCGGTGCGCGTAGCTGGTGGTGTGGCGGTGCTCAATTCTTTTTTTCTTTTTTTTTGTCTGGAGTTGAGCCCCATTGCGTGATTCCTTTGCGTGTGCTTGTGAGCAGTGAGTGAAGTTGGGTTGCAGTTGAAGCTTTCTTGCGATGGAGCTGTCGACTTGCTTTGGGTTTCCACTCGTTGCTGCCTACGATTTATGAGCTCTGTTGTTCCTTCTCTTTTGTTTTCTTCGTCTTCGTCTTCGTTTCTCTCTTTCCTTTTTCTTTTTCCTTCTCCTCTCCTCCTCTTTGTTTCTCGTCACCCACTTTGTCGGGTCCTTCTTGACCTTCTAAGGTTTTGATGTGTATGTGTGGTGGTGGTTTGCATGGATGGTATTTGAGTGTCTGGTTGAAGGTTCCATAAGTGTACAAGTCTTGGTTTCCCCGCGTCCCCTTATATCCGTGTTGGTTTTTCATTGACGTGATCGATTTTGGTCGTAAGCGCTGCGTATTTTCTTTCCAATCCCCTCTCCCCTTGTCCTTTCCACAACATTGACTTCCCGTGTGCCCAAGAAGAAATTCCATCTCCGTGCCATTTCACTTGGTTGTTTTCTTTGTCTTCTCCTCGAAACTTTGGGCCCCAATGTGGGTCATCAGCCGGTAAAATGGCACTTTTTAAAATGCAACGAACACTGTGTGTGTCGGGAGGGGGAAAGACTGTGGCGAAAGCTTGCATTGCACGTGATTAGCGAGACAACGACAGAACAGGAAGCAGACAGGTTATTGTAACGTGGCAACAATGCAACAAGCAATGAGGGAGCAACGTTGAGTGGACAATCACTGGCGCACTGTGGGCACTACTGTGGTACGTGCAGCTGAACGGTGACGATGAAGGACAGGCGGAAGTCACCACCCTGCCACATGCGGTAGTTTGTGTTCCAGATGTTGTTGAGCACAAGCATGGCCACACCCTCCCGCATAGTGGGCTGCCCGCGCACTGGTGTTGGAAATGGCGTGGGCTCTCCCACGCTGACGAGCGGGGACGTGAGGGGCGTGATTGTGACACGGACGCCGCTGCCGTCGAGACACGAGAAAGAGGTGACGACGTGGTTGTGCTTTGCACCGCCGTCCACAACGTGGCGGGGATCCAGCGTGTGGTTGCCCAGCTTCGTCAGGGTCCATCCAGGGCCAGTATCACCACGATCGCAATCAGCATCGCTACCAACACCATCACCATCATGACCAGCATTCCTGGACATAGCGTCCTTGCTCGCGTCGTCGCCGCCACACATGTTGGGCAGCCTGAAGCGCACAAACAGGGCCTCTGGCAGGCGGGTTGCCGTCTTGTCCTTGAGCGTGATATCGCCGCGAAGCACAAGCGTGGATTGGTTGGCAGACACAAGCGTGTAGTTGGTGAAGGCCGATGCAAAGCCCCCAGCATCAGTGACAGCTGAGGGGTCAGCCAGCATAGACGGGGTGACGAGAGACGCGGCGCGGCGGAAGGTGGTGCCATTGCCAACACTGGCGACGCTGCGGTACACGGCAGGCACCTTGTTGATGCCAACCTGGCAAAGGGCATTTTGGACACAGGAAGCATGTGAGGGTGAATTGGAGGGGGGGGGGGGTTGTTGTTAGCGTGTCATGTGTGTGTGTGTGTGTGCATATGTGTGTATATGTGTGTGTACATGTGCATGTGTGTGTGTGCATGTGTGTGTGTGTGTGTGTGTGTGTGCATGTGCATGTGTGTGTGCATGTGTGTGTGCATGTGCATGTGCATGTGTGTGTGTGTGCATGTGTGTACATGTGTGCATGTGTGTATGTGTGTGCGTGTGTGTGGGAGCTACTGTAAAAATGAAAGGCAACGTGGAGGAGGGATGACGAGAAGATCGTGTGTTTAACAAGAAACGCCAACACCCAACATGCACCCACACCGCATGAGCACCTTGTCAAAGTCGTCGAGGTCGTCCACGGGGAAGAGCGGGCCAGCAAAGTTGTAGTTGAGCATGAAATGCGTGTAGTTTTGCGCCGTGTACGTGCGATATTGCATCAGGCCCAGCTGTGCATCCGCGCCAATGAGCGAGCGATCTACATCACAGCATGGATTGGAGAGGGGGGGTGGGGGTTGAGGCACAGTGGGGTATCGTGTAGGATTAGGTACGGATGGATGCAGTCGTGTGTGAAGGGGGGAGGGGGGAGGGGACACAAAACCACGGGCAAACACATGGAATTGTGCCATGTGTCTTATGTCCTGTGATTTGGCCGCGTGCACATGCGTTTACCACACACACACACACACACACACACACAAACATGTACACACACACGCACAACACATACACAAACATGTACACACACACATACACAAACATGTACACACACACATACACAAACATGTACACACACACACACACACACACACACACACACACAAACAAACATGCACATACACATACACACACGTGCACAACCCACCCTTGTTGATGATGCTGACAATGGCTGTGGATGTGGTGTTGATGGCGACGCGCCAGCCCTGCGCTGCAATCACCGCCAAGTCCTCCTGCTCAGGCGAGTAGCCCGTCAGGTCCACAAACGTGGTGTTCACGGCTGCAAGCTCCTGCTCCACAAGCGCACGCAGGTCGTCGTCATGCAGGTGCTTGAGTGCGTTGGCAATGCCCCAGCGACGCTGCCGCTGCCACGATGCCTCCAGCTTGGCATACTGCGGGTTGTGCTGTCGTGCGCGGTGGAAGTCGGGGTTGGAGTAGTTGGCGTGCAGCGCCGATCGCGGGGAGATGGTGGACTTGACGTCCAGGCCCCACGTGTGTTCCGAGTTCTTGAGGAAGCGGTGGATGAACGTGCTCACGTGCGCGTTGGTGAACGTGCAGTGCGACGGCGCGCGGGCGCACCACGTGTCGATGGCACGCTGCATGGCCGTGAGCTGCGCCAGCTTGCCCGTGTCCGACGCCACACCGTGGATCCAGCTGTCGCCAATCTCGTCCGTGATGGTTGGCAGCTGGGACCGCACCTGCGGCGTGTCAATGGCGGATACAAAGGCATCAAAGGTGGACACGTTGACGGCGGCGTTGGGGAACTCCTTGCGGATCTCTGCCAGGTCTTTGATGACCTCATCCGCAGACGCGGGCCCGCTGTTGTCGCCGCGCCACGCCACCACCATGGCGTGGGTGCTGCCAGGGACGACGGTTGGAACAAACACGCCCGGCAGCTTGTTGAAGCCGCCGTACCCGCCCGTGAGGTACATGGTGAGCATGGACGTCTGTGTCTGCTCGTCCTTCCACAGGAAGACGCGGGGCACATTTGGAGGGGTGCTGCCGCCGTTGGTGCCGACGGAGACGGCGCGAACGCCGCTGCTGGCGAGCGGGTGCAGCGCAGCACGCGGGATGCCCGGCACGTCGCGCTGCGAGAGGACGCGCTTGGGCTTGAGGCCAAACTGTGCGTCGAGCGCGTGGGTGAGCTCAAAGGCGAGGCGAAGCGTGGTCGGGGACAGGAGCTCGAGCTCTGCATCAAAGGGAAACGCCTGCCACGTGATCCACCCTTTGGCGACGCTGGTGTTGAAGCGGCGCAGCGCGGCGTCATCCGGGCACGTCAAGTTGAGGTCGGAGGGGCAGTTGAGGTAGAGCCAGACCACCCAGCTCTGCGCGGTGAAGGCCAGCCTTGCTGCGGGGTCCGTGCTGTTCTGCTCCAGCTGCATGCCCGTGTGGTATGCTTGGTCGAAGAAGCCAAACCACCGCCGAACAATGGCGTCCACCGTGCCGGCAAAGCCGGCATCGAAATGGCAGCCCTGCACCACGTGCACGTGCTCGATGCGCTCTGTCCAGCTTGAGTTGTAAACACACCAGTTGAGCGTCTTTGCGCTCGGTTCCCACACGCAGTGGCGCGCTTCACACGCCTCTTTGGAGTCCCACATCCACGCACCACCACACGGCACGCGTGCCCCTTCCACTGTCGCCATCCCCGCCACCATCATCCCCGCCACCATCATCGCTGCCACCAGCGTCGTCGCCAGCGTCGTCGTCATCGCGGCGTGCATCTTCATCGCGTTGTCGTGGGTTGTCGCGTGGAGGGAGTGCACGACGTTGAGTCGAGTCCTGTCAAAATGCAAAACAACAGCATAAACTGCAGTGGCGAATACGACCAGCAGCGCGAGAGCTCTACGATGTTGTTGCGGTGTGTGCGTGCTGTCAGCACGGCTTCGAGCCGGCTGCAGGCGGCCAAGATGCCGAGCTTCCACTACCAGCCTGTGTTTGAGGCAGCCAAGCCAAAGGACACTCAGTACAAGAAGCTCTCTGGAGACCACGTGACCACCACAACCGTCAACGGCAAAGAGTGCGTCCACACACAACAGCAGTTGTTGTGTGTGCATGTGAGTGTGTGTTGTGTGTGTGTGTTTGTGTGTGTGTGTGTGTTTGTGTGCGTGTGTTGTGTGTGTGTGCATGTGTGTGTTGTATGCGTGTGTGCGTGTTGTATGCACACTCGTGCACAGATGACACATGGAAGCAAACAGTACTTTGCAACCACTCAAACACGCTCAAACACAACGTTGTCTCTGCCTCATGTATGCGCTGGCTTTGTCCAAACGCAATGCTGGCGCAGGGTGCTGACGGTGGAGCCGGAGGCCATCACCATGCTGGCTGAACAGGCCATGATTGATATCGCCCACCTTCTGCGCCCTGGTCACCTGCAGCAGCTGAGCAACATCCTCAAGGACCCAGAAGCCTCTGCAAACGACAAGTTTGTTGCCCTTGAGCTCCTCAAGAACGCCAACATTGCCGCGGGCATGGTGCTTCCTGGTCAGTTCACCTCAACATCTGCGTAAGAACACCTACCCGAGTGTGTGGGAAACCGCTGGCAAGTATGTGAAATTGTTGATGAGCTTAATAAAACCTACTTCATCCCCTCACTCACTCACTCACTCACTCACTCCCTCACTCACTCACTCACTCACTCACTCACTCCCTCACTGCTGGTGGTTTGCTTCGTCGTTTTGTCTGTGCAGGCTGCCAGGACACTGGCACGGGCATCTGCATTGCCAAGAAGGGCCAGTACGTGTGGACGGATGGCAAGGATGAAGAAGCCATCTCCCGCGGTATCTTTGACGCCTACACCCGCAAGAACCTCCGCTACTCCCAGGTTGGCGTGTGTGTGTGTGTCTTTGTGTGTGTGTGTGTGTGTGTGCGGTAGCGTTTGCAACCTCAGGATATACCGAGCCGGCTCATGCACGTTGCACTTCCATGTCCCATGCACATGTGGTTGTGTGCGTGCGTGTTTGTGTGCGCAGGTGGCGCCGCTCGACATGTTTTTGGAGAAGAACACGGGCTGCAACCTTCCCGCGCAAATCGACATCTACTCAACCGACGGCAGCGAGTACAACTTTGAGGTGATCACAACTCTGCAGACATTTGTGTGCGTGCATGTGTGTGTGTGTGTGTGCATAGCTGGGTGTACCTTTCAACCCATCGTCGCTGCTCGCCCTGCGTTCATCCGTGTGCTCTGGTCTGCTCCTTACAGTTCCTTGCCAAGGGCGGTGGCTCTGCAAACAAGACGTTCCTCTTCCAGCAGACAAAGGTATGTGTGTGTATGTGTGTTTGTGTGTGTATGTGTGTGTATGTGTGTGTATGTGTGTTTGTGTGTCTGTGTCTGTGTCTGTGTCTGTGTGGGCGTGCAACGCCTGTGTACGCACACGACCTGTGTTTGTATGGTTGCACCCTGCACCCCACTGCACTCACCTGAGGGCCCGACCAAACACGCATACACACACGACACCGCGCGCGTGTGTGTGCAGGCGCTGTTGAATGAGAAGAACCTGCTCAAGTTCCTGGAGGAGAAGATCAAGACGCTCGGCACCGCAGGTGAGCACCAGCAGCATTGTGGTGGTGGTGGCCGTGATGATGGCGCCGTGGTGCTGGTGAGGATGAGTGGCAACACAAGAGCTTTGCTGCGCACGCACACACTTCCACACACTCGCTGACCCACCCATTCACTTAACCACTTGCCCCTCCACCGGCCCTCCTTGCTCTGCCTCCCGTCGTTGCAGCGTGCCCGCCGTACCATCTTGCCGTTGTGATTGGCGGCCTCTCTGCGGAAATGAATCTCAAGACCGTCAAGAGCGCTTCCACACGCTACTACGACAACCTCCACACCACGTGCGCATGCCCGAGGCTCTGCGTCTGTGCGTGTGCATGTTTGTTTGCTTGTGTGTGTGTCTGTGTGTTGGTGATGGAAATGAGACGTGTTGTGCGCCTGCTTGTGCCACAAGTCACTCGCCGACACATGTACGCTGATCACGCTCCCAAGTTCCCATGACTAACATGGGCTGGCTGGTCCCGATGTGGCCTGCGCACGTGCGTATCTGTGCAGTGGAAACGAATACGGCCGCGCCTTCCGCGACCTCGAGTGGTGAGACCATGACGCAATCGCACACCGCGCAACGATGCAAACACACCTTTTTGTGGTGGCTCTGGCAGTCACTCCCCGTTCTTGTTATCGCTGCTGTTGCGTGTTGCTCGAGTGTTTATCGCGGCCTCGTTCGTCATGTCATCACCATGTCCATCTGCACATGCGCGTGTGTGTTTGTGTGATTGATTGATGGACCAGGGAGGAGAGGATCCACAAACTCACGCAGAACCTCGGCATCGGCGCCCAATTCGGAGGTGCAGACGCTAGCGCCCAGCCAACATACTGGCCTGTCCATGTCGTGTGTACCCATCTCGCACCTCCTGTGCAGCTGTTTTCTCCCATTCACTCACTTTCACACACATCATGATTCACACGCGCCCTCTCACACACTCACACACACACACACTCTCTCTCTCCCTTGTACATCAAAACACACACATAATGATTCACATGCGCCCTCTAACTCACTCACTCACTCACACACGCTCTCTCCCTTGTACATCAACACACACACACACATGCACACACATACACACGCTGCACCCAATACAAACACACTGCACGCCAACCAGGCAAGTACTTCTGCCACGACGTGCGCGTCGTCCGCCTTCCTCGCCACGGCGCATCTTGTCCTGTCGGGATTGGCGTGTCCTGCTCAGCTGACAGACAGGTGTGTGTGTGTGTGTGTGTGTGTGTGTGTGTGTGTGTGTGTGTGTGTGTGTGTGTGTGTGTGTGTGTGTGTGTGTGTGTGTCGTCGTCGTCGT